AATAAAGACAATGGAATAAAGGGAATATAAAAAGGGGGAAGAGGGGAGAAGGGGACTGATGGAGCAAAGGTAACCTAGAGTCTCCCGAATTAAGAATACTCTGTTTCATTAGGTGCAGTAGCTACATGAGACCTTCCCATGTGAGGTTTTGTAAAACTGAATTTATGGGTTTAGTCGTTTTTTTTTATTGTGACTTCCATTTAAGTGTTTATTTTATTTGTTTTTTTTGTTTTTTTTAACTCTCCAGACATTTAAACCGATGTCCACACAGTCTCCAGTCCTCTGCGGCAACAATGAGTAACGCCAAACGTCTAAAATGGAAATCAAACGCTTTATAAACGTTATTTCCAAAACTCTACCGTCGCATCCATCGTCCCGTTAAATAACCCATCAGGTCCGGGTTCACCTGGTGAGCTGGGACTCCTCATGGCTTAAACCTGAAGCGCATGAATATTTCAGGTTAAAGGTGTGTTTAAACAATTGAGCGCATATCAATGAGGCCCGGGTAATTTGTATCCAACAGTAATAATAACGAGCTCGCCTAAAATTACCGCTGATCTGTCTAATTAAAAACTCCTCGCTGCTGATCCCGCCACGTCAGCTCACGTTTCCCCCGGAATAAGCAGCGACAATGGCTGCATTCAAGTCGGCGGTCTAAATAATTAAAAAGAGAGGAATAATTACAGTATAAAATTGTAATTATTGGCGGGGGCTGCAGGGGAAGCCTCTTGATGGTGAAAGAGGAGAGGATGCGCTTAGGATCAGGTTCAGCATCAATATTGCAGCGAGGTAAAACTGGCGAGCTCAGGCTGCACACAGGTTGATGGTGCTTCATACACACTCATCTCACACTCTTCACACACACACACACACACTCCAAACTCTCCTCTCCTCTCACACACACTCGCATCAGCCCGAGTGTATGAAGTGTATCCTGATGAATTTGTCTGCCATGTGATGTCTCTTTATTTATGATAAAGTGTCTAAAAACCATTTGTCTGGTTTCTCTTGGCTGTCTTTCTTTGACAGGTGCACCGGCTCAGGCTGAAGGCAGGGCCGCTCTGAGATTTTCTGGGGCCCAAGCTGAAGTTTTGCTCACTGCCTCCTCTGACCCCCCCACCCCCCCACCCCACAACAAATACTCTTACTGTAACCACCCACCTTTTTAGATACTGTACCTGAAGTAGAGAAGAATGGAGTCATACAAAAGACAGACCTTCAGCCGGCGTCAGGCATCACTGATATCAAGGTTGGTGATTTGACTACACCTTTGATAGTTTGCTTCGGCCTGTTGCTTCAGTTTAAAGATGATGTTATTTCATATTATGAGATGGAGCCTGATGAAGGTCTATGGCCGAAACATAACTTTCACAATTCACACATGAAACTGCTCATATAGGACAGGAAGAAAACAAGAAAACGTGCTTCACCAAGAAAGTTGTAGCTAAAGGACAGACGACACTCTGGCCTGATAAATACTACTTCAAGTCGATATTGATATTGATACTGAGATTAGGGGGGAAAAAATTGGATAATGTATTTCAGTTAATAGTCTTTTTTTCAACAAGTCTTCCAACCTATTTGTCTCCACCCTCCGATACGACCTATCTATGATGTGACAGTGCTGCTGTAAAGGTTTGGTTTGTTAAGGTCAGAGGATGTTCATCGTCATGATTAAAAGAAACAACATTGACTGTTGGGTTGAAATAGGAAATGAACAGCGGCCTCCTGTGTTAAAGTTCAATGTTTTGTCCAACACATTCATCCAACTCGACCTCTTTCTCTGCACAGACTTTGCCGCTCTATAACGTCAACCATCTTCCTTTGCTCCCATCATAATCACTGCGGCTGCTAGAGGGCGCAGAGATTATGATAAGAGCAAATGTCACTGAAAAATTACACTTATATGTCCAAAGGGTCGTTTGTTTTGTCCGTCTTTTTTGTTGGTAAGCTAATATCGGCCTGACTGATTCATTGATCTCTAGACAATACTCAATCAGAAGTTGGAGGAGAAGCAAAGCCGGATTACCAACCAGGCAAAACAGACCCAAAAGCCCCATGTTGACTCCTTATCCTTTGGGTCCATATAATTTGATAAATGGTGAATTTGTGAGATATTAGCATCACTAAAGTTCAGCCTCAACTGTGACAGGCTCCTAACATCTTGTAGGACTCTGTGTAGAAATCTGGTTTTAAGACCTGAATTGTTTTAGTTTATGGTTGTAAAGTGTTTCATTAAATGTTTTTTCAGTGTCATGTAGTTAACACACAGAAAGCCTTGTGCTAGTATTATGCCATCACAAGTGTATGTTAGAAAATAATGAAAACTTCCCATTATTGCTCACTGAAGCACAAGCAAATATATTCAAATATCTCATTATGATCGACTTATGACTTGTTTTGTCTGAACAGTCAAAAATACAAAGATGCTGAGTTTATCATCAACTGGCAAATATTCACACTTAAGAATTCCCAGGGATATTTTGGCAAATCTTATCAAAATTGTTCCATCAGTCCACCAACTGATCAATCAAGTCATCATTTCAGCTGGTTGGTGTCTGGGTGTCAGTTTCATTGTATGATATAATGAAACTGTCATGTATAGTGGCGCCCAACACCAAACCTGGGCTCCGGGGCCGTCCACGACGTCAGTGCAGCCATGTTCTCCCACCTGCTGCAGGTATGGACACTTCTTTCTGGTCGGGACAACAGAGCTTTCTTAAGTCATCGATCCGGTTATTAATAATAAATTGGTGTCTTTAAGGCAAACAATGGGCTTTACTATTCCGTTTACACTGCTGACCCCCCCCCCCCTTTGCATTTACAGATTGGGCTTCCTCTTTGCCTGTGTGCGTGTGTGTGACAGTCTGGCCTGAGGCATCATCAGCAGCAGCAGCAGCAGCAGCAGAAGCTCATCCCAGATTCACTCACTTTCATCGCAGAGCGTCTGAGCAGAAAACATGTTCAAACGCCTCCATATTATTTGACGCACGAACAAAAGCCTCCGAATCGAAGCCGTCTTTCTTCTTATTATTTATTCCTCATGTCTTCCTCTCTTACTTCTCTTTCATCGCCGAGGCCTCAGATTGATTTGTGTGGCCGGCGTGGAAGCCTAACAGATGGTCTTGTAACTTGATAAATGAGCCCGTGCCTTTTGTCATTCTTGTTGCCCTCCATAGTGCCACTCGCGCTGCCTCTGTTTGTCAGCTCGCTGCTGCTGCGGTAGAAATACTCCTTAATACACACTGTGCATGATCAGTTAGGCCAGTAGTGGTTCCCAGTGTGGGGTCCAGGGGCCCCCTAGAGGGTCCATCCTTGACGAGGTCCAGGGGAGGGGGTCGCAATAATCACTGTTATAATTTCACTTATATGATTTTTCTATGATTATGTTATATTGCTCTTTTCTTAATTAGCCTATATGTAATACAGTAACAAATGGGTCAAAGTAGTCCTCCATTTGGGGTCAGCAGGGGCCTAATTGGGCGTGATAGTTTTGTTTCTGATCATATTTGTGCGTCAAAACGACATAATTGTAAATGAATACTGGTGTGTAGTGCTAGCTCTGCACGTCTGTGTGTGTTGGAGAGAGAGAGAGAGAGGGAGGGGGGCAGAGAGAGAGAGAGAGAGAGAGAGATGCCATGTGCTTCCTGTCTACAAGCCATTCACCTCCCAGGGCTCCAACAGGATGGAGGTCCTGTCTGCTGCTGCCTGCACTGAAATAAACTGAAATAAAGACTCCAGCGCAGAGTTTCTACCGCCACACCGCTTGGTTTTTAAGATCGTCCCTCTCTGGACTCACCGGGCCTGCATTTACATCTGTTAATATTCATATTATTTATTATTTTTCCATCCTAAATCCTGCTGGAGTGTGTCGTCTTTTTAGGAGAGAAAGGTATGTATTTTCTTTTTTTTATATAATTCTGCCAGAAGTCTTGCTAGTTTTGCTTTAAATGTTTTATTTTTGTATTTTATTTCGCATGCAAAATGTGATCGGAACGTGTCAAATACTCGCTATCAATCACTCTAAAAATAGTTCTTATTCACATCAGTTATTGGGTTGAATCGTTGGCGCGGCTGCGGGCTGCTTACATGTATTTTAGTGGCCAGTGACTCGAGGTAAAAAGTAAGTATGCGCAGGTGAACGTGAGATAGGCCTGCTTCAACCTAATTTCGAGCAACTGTCTGAGGCTAATCTGCGCAGAAGCTTTAATTATATATAGGGCTAGTCTTTTATTAACAATGCGAAGAAGCACGCTTCGATCTGTGTAATTACCAGCAAAGCAGCTTATAGTTGTTCTTTTCCTCTCTGCTAAGCGCATTGGCGCAGCTCAGGCTGCATTTTCCTTCTGTCCTTATCCGCGTATAAGGATCTTATGTGGCTCTTAAGCAGTTGCCCCATAAGTGCTGAGCCGATTTGAAGATAAGAGGCGCAGTAGATCCACCTCCGCGCAGGAACCCGGATAACCTGAGAGAGGAGGAATGAAACGATACGAGAAATAATTAACGACAAGACTGATTGATTTCACTTCTCGATAATATAACCTCCTGCAACAGCCTGATGTTAGACTTTATTTGGTCATCTAAAATCTAATTTTATTATATTATTATTATTATTATTATTATTATTATTATTATTATTAAGCCCCATGAATATCAACATTAATAGGCATACTTATAGCCTTCTATAAATATTTCTGCTTAATAATAATTATTATTATTATTATCATCAATAGGATATTATCTCATGTACCTGGTTTTAAGACAGATGATACTCTCCTGACATCATGTGTATTTCACTTGCATGAAATTACATTATTATTATTTTTATTTATTTATTATTATTATTATTATTATTATTATTATTATTATTATATTCTTTAACATATATGAGGTGTTTTATTTTTATTTTAATTCTCACAAACTGAATGACGTTGCAGTGGACATACATGGCTGGCCTCTGGTTCACTCCAGTTTTCTCTCTGATTGACAGACTTCCAGGGATGGAGTCGATGCCCGGACAGCTTCGAGACGCTGGACGAGACGCCAGCTCTTCCCCGGGTTTAAAGCAGGACGCACAGAGTTTCTCCAGCCCCAGCTCCCTCAAACCAAACCAAGTGAGTGAGACCTCCCTGTACGGGGTACCCATCGTGTCTCTGGTCATAGACGGTAAGGAGAGACTCTGCCTGGCGCAGATTTCTAACACCCTGCTGAAAAACTACAGCTACAACGAGATACACAACCGCCGGGTCGCTTTGGGCATCACCTGTGTGCAGTGCACCCCCGTCCAGCTGGAGCTCCTGCGGCGAGCCGGGGCCATGCCAATCTCCTCCAGGCGCTGCGGCATGATCACCAAACGGGAGGCCGAGAGGCTCTGCAAGTCCTTCCTGGGAGCGCATAGCCCCCCAAAGCTACCAGAAAATTTCGCATTTGATGTGTCTCATGAATGCGCCTGGGGCTGCAGAGGCAGCTTCATACCCGCCAGATACAACAGCTCCAGAGCAAAGTGCATCAAATGCAGCTTTTGCAACATGTATTTCTCCCCAAATAAATTCATTTTCCACTCGCATCGCACCCCAGAGTCCAAGTATCTGCAGCCGGACGCGGCCAACTTTAATTCGTGGAGACGCCACCTGAAACTGACAGAAAAAAAACCATCTGATGACATTAACCACGCGTGGGAGGATGTTAAGGCCATGTTCAACGGGGGGAGCAGAAAGAGGACTCTGCCCATGAGCGGGTCGGGAATGTCTTCACCGATGAAATCACAGGCCTCGTCCAGCCTTGCCCAAACCAGTTCCCCTGAGATCCCTCACAAAACTTTACGGTGCGACGAGGATCAGGGGAATAATAACTTGAGTTTGGCGGGCGGTGCACGGAGCTATCCAGTCATCCCAGTGCCCAGCAAGAGCTTTGGCATGCTTCAGAAAATCCCCCCACCTCTGTTCCCCCACCACCCCTATGGCTTCCCCAGCTATGGGCTGTGTCAGAAAAAGAGTGACGGTGTGCCTGATGCGAACAAAACCAATGTGTCTGGTGTGTTTTGGCCTGGCGCAAAGGACACACTCTACCCTACTTTCCCCATGTTTTGGCCTACACCCGGCGGCCTCCCCTTGCCGCCCTACCCGGGGTCTGCACCAAAACCTCCTCCTGAGCTGCCAGGCATCCGGCAGGGCGAGCTCGACTTATCGGACCAAAGCGACCGGGGCGCAAACACACCCAAAGACACCCTCCACCCTCACCAGCAGCTGGACGGCGGAGAGCGCTGTCCCAGCTCCCAGTCCTCCTCCACCAGGAACGACGAGGACAAATCCGGGGACGAGACCTCCCAGAGGAAAATCAGCTACATTTCGGCCTTCAGACCCGTGGTCAAAGACGCAGAGACCATCGCCAAACTCTACGGTAACCGGGACAGCTACGGCGTGCGCCCTGGCTACCTGTCCCCGGATTTTATCAGCGAGAGCTCTAGTTACAGATCGATATCACCGGACAGAGACAGCGTGGTGGACGACGACGACGACCCAGACGTGGATGTGGAATCCAACCGGGGTCAAGACGATGAGGACACGATCCAGATCTCACCGGGAGGAGACCACCATGACTCTCACGTGCCGGACCGAGTCCCCGTGTCTGCTGAGGAGAGCCAGGAGCATCCTGATCCCTCCAGCCCCGGAGCAGCAGCAGCATCACCGGAGGACTCCGCGCACACTGGGTCATCAGATGAGGACAGACAGATGCGTAATGGCTCTCCTCTTCATGAAGTAAGATTAGATTAAATGAAACTTTAATGATCCCCGTGGGGGAAGTTGAATTGTCGCAGTGGTGGAGAATATAAGAGTTTGTGGAAAAGAGGAGACCGATAAAAATGTAATCAAGACCAAGTGGCCCTGAATTAAAAGAAAATCCAGATGGAGATATTTGATTGTCATATTTTGTAAGTCTTAATAAGAGTGAAGGTTAGTAGGGCGGGCTAGTGGTTGTAGAAACAGTCATTCATCTGTCCTGCCGAAGTGCTCTTGAGCAAGGCAACACATCCGCCTTTTACCTCCAAAAGATCAATTAGGATCCACCTTAATTTGTACCAGTGTAGCGCAGATGTTGCGATTTTCAGTCAGGGTAATTAAAGTGCAACCCTAATTAATCCTGATTTAATTTTTTTGATGTATTTCTATGAAAATGATTTTCTGTTTTGCCGCCACTTTAGTGTTTTTCAGTGCAAAACCATTCACCTTTCTTTTGGGAATCATATCAGCATCTTGACAACAAATTGCAGGGTTCCTGCTTTTTGAAGAGCTGACGCCCCAATTACGTGAAGAACTGCAGTAAATGACATATAATTGGTGCGCGTTATTAAACACGACTGTCTGCCTCATCTTGCAGGTGTACGCGCATGAAAAGGAGAAGGAGCCCTCGTCGTTTGGGTCCAAACAATCGAGCAGCCCCCGCAGATCCAACGGTGATTATTTAAGCAGTTTATGGTAGGACTTGGTTATTAATGCAAATTGGGGCGTTTTCGTCTCTTTTAACTGAAAAATTATTTGCTCTTGTTGATGTTCAGGTGCTCATCACGTGTCTGATGTACAGAACCCGCGCTCTGCAGCTTCCTGTCAGGAGCAGAGGGACAGACAAGGTTTTTAATTATTCTGCTTCACATTTTATCATGAATTAAAAAATCTACCCATTCTTCATGTTTTAGTTACTTCCCTGTGTTTCCACACACTTCTTTGACAGCACCGCAGTCACAAAGATGACTCAATTGTAGCTTTAATTATGTGTTTTTGTTGTTTTTGCGCAGCCGATGGAGCTTTGCGCATCGACATCAGCGTGCATGAAAGAGACCTGGAGAACATGGCTAAAGGTAAGAGGCTGTTTCCAGGATCAGAAGGACATAAAAGAGAGGAAAAAAAGTGAAGCAGGCGATTCATTATCATTCGAAATTATTCCTGTGCAGATTGTAATTTGGGAAGATGTATCGACAGGCAACAGATTTATACAGCAGCTGTCAGGGCCTGGTTACCATATTTAATTATAACAGATATTTATTTCTTCTTTTCAAATGTAAGATACTAAATTTAATTAAATACAAATACATTTCTAGATTTTATGATATATATTTTCATTTTTAGTTGTTGAAATAGATAAACAAATAAAAATAAATGTGCTTTATACAAATATTAAACCTTGTTTTCCGCCACATTTGAAATGCAGCTAAAAGCCCACGGCCGGAGATGACGTGCCAAAATCTGAATGTGAATTTACATTTTTGTGGGCCTAAAGTGTTTCCATAGTTGTTAACCACTTAATCACGAGATGTGGGAGTTTTGACTTATTATTGTAAGAGGAAATCGTTTAGAGGCTATTAATATTTTAAGGAACAGAGCCATAACCCCGAGGCACGGCAGCTAATTATTTTACAACGCTTGGAAAAACCCTGGGACTCCATTATTATCGTCTCAACCTCCAGGCAATGCATGGCAATTACTGTGGCAGCGAGCGAAAGGAAAGCAGTGAAATGGTTGTTATCAAGGGTGTTAACGCACCTGAAGTCGGTTTACTGGGCTGACATAAATCATCTTTATGTGCAGAAATTCAAAATATATCATAGTAAGTGGAACCAAATTGATGTGAGGTAGATGAGGATAGAGAAGATTTTTTTTCGTTTTTTTTTTTTAAAAGATGTTTTTGTTGATATTTTCTTTTTTTCTTCTTCTTTTTCTTCTTTTTTGCATTATACTGTTTTAATTCTTATCCCTGCTGTTTGCTCAGAAGCACTGTAGGTGTCAGACGGGAAGTGTTTCTGTGTTTTAGGGTGAATAATGAGATTTCCATGCAGATGAAAATAATTTGGTGTGGAAATTAACATATTTTTTTCTTTGCAGAGGAATTGCAGAAGCAGCTTGTGGAGCAAGTGGAGCTGAGGAAAAAGTTGGAGAGAGAATTTCAGCATTTAAAAGGTAGGACCAAAGTGAGTCTGGGTGTATTTTGTGAGTCAAAGTCATAGATGTATTTTGCATCTTTTTTTGGATCTTAAACCCCTCTGCTTACAGCCTAGATGTTTGGAGCAGAGTGAGTTATTTTGTCCTTTATGCTCTTCAGATAATTTTCAGGATCAAATGAAGCGTGAGCTGTCCTACAGAGAGGAAATGGTCCAGCAGCTGCAGATTGTTCGAGGTTGGTTTCTTTCTAAACTTTGTGCCTTCATAGATTCTGACTGTAAAGCGGATGTAGATCAATGCTCTTTAAGTTTATGGGAAAAAAAAAAAAAAATCGAACCACAAAAAACGTTTAAATAACATAGGTCGTCTCAATCAATCCGAACCAACATGCCTGTAAACCAAAACAGAAAGGAAAAGTGACACTTGCATATTGAAATATTGGCGATTTGTGTCCAGCCTTTTTCCTGTAAACTCCAGATTTTTTTCCTCCTGCAGTTGAAGTAAATTATTAGATATCAAAAGGTGAAACTGAAACCACATTGTTTTGTATGCAAAGGTTATTTTCTCCTAAATCATGCTCTGGAAAATTGAATAGACAGACCATTATGTCGTGCTGTATCAGTTACATGCAGTAGACAGCAACTAATGCCACCCGTTAAAGGATTGGTTTAATGTTACAGTAGTTTAAATACAGGGTTCAAGTACACAGAGGGGTCACTCTAAATACCATAGGGGCAAACGGCATACATTACACTCCTTCACTTCAGATGCTACACAGCAGCTCACATTTTCTTTTTTTTTTCTTTTTATTCCTTTTTTGACCATTTTTTTTATTTTTTATTCATTTTATGTTTTTGATAGACACTTTGTGCAGCGAGTTGGACCAAGAGAGAAAGGCTCGTTATGCAATACAGCAGAAGCTAAAAGGTAATTTTATCTGGTCCAGAAAGGAACATGGATAAATGTCTTTTTCTTTTTTTTTTAACCTACAAACATAAATATGCAAGTGCTACTTTTTTTAATTAAACATCTCTTGTGATGAATTTTTACAGTAAGACACCATTAAAGGATAGGTTCACATTTTTTTCACCTCAGTCTTAAATCAATACTCACATGTCCAAATGTACACCGGAAGCACTATTGGTCTCTTTAGTTGTTCTTCTTGTTCATGTTGCTGTACAGAGATCCCTTATTGAAGCAATTTCAATGTAAGTGACGGAAAAAAATCACACTCCTTGTTAAATTGTAACTACAGCCAAAGTTAAATTGAGGCTTTAGTGGATCTGAATCCAGTCAAACAACTGTCCATCTTACAAAGTCACAGCCTTTTTATGACTAAAGTTCTTCTTTTCGGTAATAGCCCTCCACCACGGCTCACCATAAGTGTGTTTCCATCCACTGGCTTTTTATGTGCATTTTCAATTTACACATAAAGAACCTGTGGAGCTTGAAAACACTGAAAAAAATCACTTGGCTGAGGTGGAAAAGTTGGCGTATCAAAAAAAGCAAAATGTGACACAAAGGAAACAGACAAAGCGAATGAACAATGAAAAATGGCGGCAGGTGAAAACATCAATGTGTGTGGAGCGATGAGGAGGCCATAACTATTCTGAAATTAATACGTGAAACGAACATATTTTTTAACATGTTTCCTACATTGTTTTCACAGTTTGAGGTTTGACTCCTACAAGTATGTCATCTCGTAGCACCCTCTTCTTCTGCAGTGGTTTAATGGCACTGAAGGGAGAATTAACATTTATTTAATTGATTAACCACCTTCTAAAATTGGCGCAGTGGTAGAGGAAGGCAATTTGGTTAAACTACATTAGGATGGAAACCTGGCTTATGAAAACATGAAGAGGACATTTTGTACTAAAAACATTCTTAACTTTGGAAGATACCCACTTGATATGTGGGACTTAGACTGCGAAAGCCTCCAGTGCAGGGACTGTGGATTTTGTCATGGAAATCATCAGATGTTCCTGGTATGGACAGAAGGAACAATCAAGGCTGGACATCTGCCCAGGTGCCCAGGTTTACTCCATTTAATATAAGTCTGCATCTTTTGATTAACTACAGTTTTTTTTGTCAGAAATTTGCACCACTAAATTAGAATTGCAGCTTTATGGTCCTCATCCTCCATCTTGATGCCCTGGTCCTGTACAGCGTCTCCTTTTAGTTTATATTGAGCTCATTTGTTAGAAAGTATTTTATGACATTGCTGTAATTTTCAAGACACATTAATTCGATGGGCAAGGTCGTATTATTCCATCATAGAAGAATTTTAAGGCTGCAACCAACAATTATTTTCACAAATGCTGATTGTTTTGTCTAATAATTGATTGATTGTTCAGTGTATAAATTGTAAATAGTGTCAGATAAAGGTCCATTATTATTCTCTGAAGCTCAAATATTTGTTTTGTCTGACCAACAGTCAAAAATCCGAATATGTTGAATTTACTGTCAAAGAAAACTGTGAAATTAGTACATATTCAAATTTGATATTTTGGCTTAAAAATGACTTTTGAACAATTAGCATTTTTCTTATTGTCAACCAATCAATGAATCAACTACTGGCTGGTTTCTGGGCAGACATGTTGTTGTTGTTGTTGTTGATGTTAATCCAGCCATGGGAACAATGACAGAGACCAAAAGCAGTCCAAACATGCCCATAAGGAGCAAATGGACAGACTTTAAAAATGTGAACCTATCCTTTGACAACATTTAGGGAAAAAATATCCAACTCACAGCTGATTTATTCAACAATAATTTATGAGAGTGTTATGTATGTTCATCTGCTCACTGATGGACCTGTTCCTCCCCAGAAGCTCATGACGCCCTTCACCATTTCTCCTGCAAGATGCTCTCCCCTCGTCAGTGCACCGGAGCCTGCACCTTCAAACCCCCGCTGCTGCCTCCCTAGTTCCCCGGCACGACCCTGCACCTGACCCCAGTACAGCCAAAAAAAAAAAAACCCACACACACACACACACAGGTCCGCCTCGAGAGCTCTGATGTGTTCACCTCCCACCTGTAACCCAAGGATTACCAACCTGCTGTATAGATACACTACCGATTTTAGCACTTGAGTGAATACGTCGAGGCTCAGAGAAGATTTTGACAGCGACGTCTCCTCGAAAGACTCAACTCTTGAGTAAAAGAGATCAGGATTTACTTAAACATGGAGTTCATTTTATGTTGTGAAACAAAGGATTGTTGATCTGAACCTGCGAAGCTGAAACCAAGGAGTGTCTCTGAATCAAAGCCGTCTGCTCTTTAGCTATTCTGAAAAGAAAAAAAACAACACTATATACATATACATATATATATATATATCACGTGACAATGTGCAATGGCTTGTATAATTGTGATATTAAGTTCAAAATGTATCTCATTATTTAGCTTTTGTTGATTGTTTGAATATCTTGAGTTTTTACATATATTTGTTATTTATCTGTCTTTGGTTTAATTTATTGTCTAGGTTATTTGTAACACTGCATATGTTGTTAAGCACTTTAAATGGGCGACATTTCTGAATTTGATCATGCCATCCTATACCAAATTCTGTGATCCACAGTAGAAGGATCTTTTCGTTTTAAATGGAGCACATTATTGTGAGCACTTACTACAACAGCCGATCAGGTTTGACATCAAACAATAAAACACTTTCTTTCACCGAGTTGTGTGTCATACAAACTTTGAAGTGATCATTAAAAAAAAAAAAAAAAACAGTCTTGAGCCATTTATAGATATCATGTACAGTTTAGAGTATTTTAACACAAATGTGATCCCATAATTCTCTCTGTTTCAGGGTTTTTTCTATCATCACATGCATCTGTGAGTCGCAACAGACAAAACCAAAACTTTTTCCTATCATCTGATGGTCTTTTTATAAGAGGAAGACTCTGTATGAGATGTGTGTAAACTGCCATTCACACAGCTGCATTTAATTTTTCTCCCATTCGTTTGAATTTGGTTTGTAATTTAAAAAAATACAAAGAGCAGTTCTAAAAGAAATGAATCCTGGTTTCTGACACAGTCTAACCATAATTTTACCATTTATGTATGTATCCATGTCAATATTAATAAAATGTGAAAGCCACTTTCTGCTTTATAGCCTTACTTTTTTTTGTTTCTTTCGCTGGTGTGATCCTGACACCTACTGGCATCCATACAGAATAACTCTTCGTGAGATGGATCATATTTCCTCTTATTGTATCTGAGTTCAACATGATCTCTTTCATTAGGCGGCTACATCAGTGCATGACATGTCCAGTCAACTTATAATGTTTGACACTGAGTCAGGGGAGCAGGCTGATCTAATAGTGAAATCTAATTCTTCTGATGGGAGGACTAATAGATATTGATTACATGGCTCTCGGTCCCTGGATGCTTCATACTGAGACAGATACTCGCATAATGTCACTGACGCACAATGAATGTTAATTTTCTGTGAACGTAATTGCCCTCCATGGCAAAGCCAGTTCTCTTAGAATACTAACAAATCCAACAAAGCTGAAATGAGCCGAAGCACTGTGGGAATGATTGGGCTGCATTTCTATTAGATATTTAACATTACACAAAACCTGATTTAGGTTCATTTGTGACAAGCATGGATGGATTATGTGACAGTGTTGCCCTGGCTATAGATATGTAAAAGCCCATGTGTCTTTGTGGTTGTTTTGTGCGTCTTTGTGGTCTATGTTTCACCTCTTGTTGTTATTTCTGCATCATTGTGCCAGTATTTATGGTGGTTTTGATCTCTCTGTAGTAGCTTTGTTTTTCTTTGTAGTCTTACTTCTTGTGGTCATTTTATATCTCTTTGTAGTTGTTTCGCTTCACTATGTTTTTGTTTTGCACCCTCTTTAGTCATTTTGCGTCTCTTTGTGATGGTTTCGCACCTTCTTTTTAATCATTTTGTGTCTCTTGGTAGTCGTTTTTGTGTCTCTTTGTGATCATGCTGCTTGTCTGTGTGGTGGTTTTTTGGCCTCTTTGTGTCTTGTATCGTTTTGCATCTTGTTGTGGCGGTTTGTATCTCTTTGCAGTCGTCTTGTGTCTTTTTGTAGTCATCCTTCTCCTGCTTGTCTTTGTGGTCGTTTTTTGACCTCTTTGTAATTGTTTTGTGGCTACCTGACCCTTTGAACCCCAGGGTGTGTGCCCAGCAGGTCTTTTCAGTGATGCATCTGATGCATATAGTGGACAAGTGGAAAGAAAAATATTTCCTTAACATGGTGATCTTAGGCTTCTCTCAAAGCCTCCAAAGTTAAACTGCAAATTGAGTCTGTTGTGAGTTTAAGGACAGAGGGCCTGAAAGCTGCTGACTACTGGCATGATAAATTATTTCATTATAATTCCATAATTATGAAATTTTAAAATTTAAAGTAGGACTTAAGGGGCTCATTGAAAATGTGCCCTGTGTTCCCACAGTGCTCCACGGCGCATGTCATGACACACTAGTAATAAACTACATACACTCCTGTGAAAATACACAATTTAGGCTATACATCACCACAACTTATACTATTATATATTTATATATATATGTATATAGTGTTTTACAGGGTGAACCTTAGTGTTTATGTCATACCTATAGGAAAACAAAGATAATTAACAAAATAAATAAGTAATTAGAAAATAACAAGCAATATGAATTAAAGAAAAGATGCTGAGGAGAATAATATTTCAAACAAGTAAAAAACAAAACAGTGAACAAAATATATCACACAGCCTGGGGTGATTTCATATGATGCGTGCAATACCCTCCCATACATAACATCTCAAAACAAACTTTTTTTCAAAAGTTTTATACACAGTGTGTAAAGTGGTTTTGCAAGTTAAAAATTGTTTATATGACTTTTGCATCAATATGTTCAAGTACCTTTAATTTTCTGGACTAGCCAGTGGTGGAAGAAGTAAACACAAGTCCAAGTTAAAGTCAAGGATTCAAAATTTTACTTGAGTAAAAGCAGCAAAGTATTAGCATCAAAATCTACCTAATGGCCCCTGTGTCTGGTATTTAATCATAATTGTTGAATCTTTATTATTGATACATTTACATGTAAGCTGCATTTTAATGTTGTAGTTGGTTGAGTTGGAGTTGAATCTCATATATGTACATATGTTTGTGTAATTTAAAGCAAGCATGTGTTTTACTGATTTCACAGCTTTCATTTCATAAAATGGAAATTAGGCACATAAAGCACAAGTTCCTCAAACTTGTACTTCAGAACAGTATTTTCTGCTATTTTCCACCACTGGGATTAGCCACTTTTTATCCATATATTTTGTCCATAAACAGTTTCTCAGCGGATCTTCTATATCGTAAAGTATATGTATTGGTATACTGTACTACTCAGAAAGTATTCAGACCACTTCAGTTTTTGCAGTTTATTGTGTTGTAGATTTAATTTTAAATTGATATTTTTGTCAATCACTCATAATGACAAAGTGAAAACATGTCCTTAAAAGTGTGTACAAATTTATTAAGAATCTAACTGAAATATCTCATTTACAAATATATTCAGACCCTTTGCTGTAGCGCACCAGATTGCGGTCAGTTGCATCCTGTTTGCTTTAATTATCCTTGAGATGTGTCTAGAACTTGACTGGAGTCCACCTGTGGTAAAGTGCGTTGACTGGGTGTAGTTTAAAAAGGCACATACCTGTGTATATAAGCTCCCACAATTCACACTGCATGTCAGGACAAAAACCAAGGAGCTCTCTGTAGACCTCCGTGATAAAATTGTAGTCAGGCATAGATCAGGGCAAAGGTATAAAACCATTTTTAAAGCTTTGAGTGTTCCCAGGAGAACAGTGACCTCAGTAGCTGTGAAATGAAAGAAGTTTAGAAACACCTGACTCCCAGGCCTGACTGAGTAGCCTAGCAAGAAAGGCCTTGTTCAGGGAGGCGACCCAGAACCCAACAATCACTAACAGAGCTGTAGAAGTCCTCTGCAGAGTTAGGGGAACCTGCTGGAAGGACAACCATCTCTCAGCAGCACTCAGGTCTTTCAGGTAGAGTGGCTGGACAGAAGCCACTTTGAGTAAATGGCACATGACAGCCTGCTTGGAGTTTGCTAAACAGCATTTAAAGAACTCTGACCCAGCATAATGGTGGGCACCAGGTTCTTCTGTGCACTGTCCTTGAGTGGCCGAGCCAAAACAAAAGACCTAAACCCTATAACATCTGTGGAGACACCTGAAGGTGGCAGTTCACAGACACTTCCCATCCAGTCTGAGCTTGAGAGGATCTGTCAGGACGAATGAGATAAACTGCCCAAATCCAAGTGTGCAAAGCCTGTAGAGACTTTACAAAGAAGACTTGAAGCTGTAACTGCAGCCAAAGGGGCTTCTACAAAACACTAAATTAAGGGTCTGAATACATTGTAAATGAGAGATTTCAGTTTTCTAAGAACAAAAATGGCAGTTTTGCTCATTTAAAATTTAATCTACAACACAAAGTGTGCAAAAAGTGAAAAGGGTGTGAATACGTCCTGAAGCCGCTGTATAATTATATATTGATATCACAATACAAGATTGTGTTTTACATGCTGTTGGAGTTAGTACATGAAGTGCTTTTACACAGGCAAGCAAACATTAAAGCCATGCACTGTAATATCAAACATTTTAAAAGAAGAATAATGTTTTATCTTGCTGTTGGGCATATTGTCTCACAGTATTTGCTGTCCGGATTAATGATTAATCATTCGCTTGTATAAACATGTGCGGTCAGCAGACACCTGTCCCATCACTGGCCATCAACAATACAACAGATGGCAGCAATACATAATGATATAATAAAACCTCTGTGATTCTCTGTGTATGAAACGAGCAGCAGAACTAGTTTGTCAATAGATTCTTTGTCTGCACCTTGAGGGAACGAGCATTTTCTGATAATGGATTTGGGCATAAAGCCTAATGTGTTTGTTATAATAGCGAATTTTTTTTCAGGATGGAAGTATAAAACCATTACACTAAGCGACTGGTTCTCAAACTGGGGGGGCGGAGGTTTGTAGACATACAGCCACTGCAAGGGGGGAGGGGCTTGGATGACCAGGGGAACAATATTTAGTGAAAGTTGAATGAATATGATTTATGTAGGTAAAATTAACAAACAAGAGTTTGCTGATGACATTCTGTTGACCTTTATTTGACTCAAATTCAACATGGATAATTTTTCATTAGTCACTTCCCCTATCAGCGAACTTCTTTGGCTTCTGAAGAGGGGCGTGTCAGAAAAAGTTTGAGAGCCACTGCATTGAGCAAAGATGTCTTTGATAGGACCAAACAAGCTTTACAGGCTGTAACACTGAGGAGGGTCTGGAGCTGAATATTCATGTTATATTAGATTCATCTTCATTTGAAATGATAGGGCGCCACCTGCTGGCTCATCCAGCATTAAATCTTTTACCTGCTTGTTTCCCCTGACAAAGACTTGTGAGCAGCTTTCTTGTGTCTGATTTAGACCTCTTGTCTGACTTTACTACTGATTGAATAGCTGGTTGAATAGGGAAAGTAGTGGCATGAAATTACTAAACAGGACACAACCTGTTATCCTCAGTCGTAGCTACAACCCTGATTTTGTTTTCTGCAGGTTTGCAGAATCGCATGCTTCACAAAAAAGTTTTCTCACTGGTATATAAAAGTATTCATGTCTTGACAAAAGGGCACATAACAACGAACATGGAAAGTACTTGGTTTTATTACTGTAAAGTCTGCTTTAACATGTACAGAGCAAATCTAGACTTTTTAGTAATAAATTTGTGAGAAACAGAATAACAAAGATTAGGTAATATCAGCCAGCAGAGGCTGAGACATCTTTTACTCCTTTAGTTCGACCCTACCAGTCACTTCAAGCTCCAAGTGTCTGACATGTTTTTCTGTTATGAAAAGTGTAGTCTCCAATCTCAAACTGAGGGTTATTTTGTCTTCTGTGGCTCCCTCCAGAGGGCACTTTCCGTCTCAAGCAAACTAACCATGATGAGTGAAAAGTGAGTTACCATAGAAAAAGAAAGAAGCACCTCTGTGGAGCCAATAAAAATGTACTGAGTACCCCTCAGAGCACTGACCCACTGTGTGTATGTCGATGCGATGCTTTTGATTATCTTGCTCTCAAAGGTTTAATGAGAAGCACAAATCCCCCCTGAACGCAGCTTTGAGAAAACTCTTCTTACTCTTACTCTATTTTTTACATTTATTTTAAAAGCAAATCTAAAGTTTTCAAATGGCTGATCCCCTGTACATTCAGAGAAGGAACCGGCAATCATAGATACGTCTGCCACATTGAACATTCTTTAAAATCCATACAGTTTATTCAGGGCTATGTCATTCTTCAAGAACAGATTTGTAATTTCTTTAAATCTACAGGAATAATTGACAGACACAGAACAATCGAATATATCTAATCATTATCACATATAAATATGTAAAAATGTACTTTTAGTAGTTTGATAAATATAGGCCCAGGGGAAACATGTAAGATTATGCCTTGTGGAGAGTTACATGGATCTAACTTCCAGTATTTGATACTATGACAGTATAAACTGGAGTGCTGCTTGTCTCCCTTTGAAAGATTGTTTCCAAGAAATGTTTAAGGTTAAAAGCGGCAGTTATTATGACTACTTGAGAGTAAGTGTTTCAATTGTATCTAGAAAACTGAAAAACATGTTTATTCTCATATTCCTCCTTTGTGCAGCATATATGAACATACAGTCTGTATGTTTTAGACAAGCCTCTCTTTCCAAGAACAATATCTCTGTTTTACTGTGTTAACTATGTGCTGGACATATACTGTTTATTTTAGATAATCCACAGAGGACAGCGTCAGAAGTTTTTATATAAACTATTTCCCCAGTAGAAAATAGTTCCACTCATGACAGTTAACAGAGATCTTTGGCTTACTCAAGCCACCAACCTGGACACTGTTTCAGTGATGAGATGCTGCTGGGGGGCAGGTACAGTATGGATCAAAGCTGCAGGTCAGTGTTTACATCTAATATAAGCAAAGTGTACAGTTAAGTACATTATTTATATGGTGGCTTTTCCATAACAACAAAGAGTGGATCTACTGCAATGGGTCCGACCTATTCTAATCTTCCAGACAGTATGGATTTTAGACCACCAGTGGTTAGGTTACAGGCTGGATGGGAGAATAGATTTAAACAGTTATTTTTGAAGAATGACTTAACTCACATAGCAGACTGAGCTGGACCAGATGTGTCCCAAGGTTGGCATTGCTGGCCTATGGTCAACACTGGCACAGGGAATGTGAGCTGAGCATGTTGAGGTGGTACAGTTTTTAAAATGGCTAACAAGATATTTGTCGATCTTTGAGACAGAGATGAGATCAGACCATTTGGTCAGTGTTGTTATAGACAGAGAAGTCCGGCATTTTTGAGTAATAATGTTTAAAAACCCATTGGAGCAGAATCACTTCAATACTCATGAAAGAGCTTGAAAAGTATAATTCAACTGTTAATTATACTGCTTGGCTAACACATTATTATCATTATTATTATTATTATTATTATTATTATTATTATTATTATTACAGAAAACAGTCTTGCAGGTTCTGTACTGCAGTCATTAAAGATCTACTCTACCTCTAGACCTCTGTAAAATTTAAAAGTCAGTAGAAGTTTGATAAACAGATTTTTTCATTTTTTTTCACCTACTTAACGAATTTGAGTTTGTTAGTAATAGTAGGTCTATTTGTTGTCTTTCACTTAAGTCTAAAATCTAATTTTAGTCGTTTGATAAGTACGATACCTAGTTGAAAGGTCCATAAAAAGCCAGAGTGGACCTCAATTGAAGATTAAGTTAAGATTATTCTATACTTCCATTCTAATAAATAATATTTTACATCACTGCGCAGCTGTTTTTTCCTCTCATCATTTGTGTCCCTGAACGCACCGCTACCGCTGTGTGCGCGTTCACGCTACGCTCTGCGCGTCCCAGTCATGTGACAACACTTCACCACGCCTGCGCATAGAAATACAAGATGGCGGAGAGTGCGGAACTGAAGGTAAGGCGCAGCCTGAAATCATTTTAAATTTACTCGGTTGCTGAGCGTTTGATTGTGAAGTCACACAGTGCCTCAGTGATTTAAGTCCTCGGGGGCTGAGATGGTGTCGGATTTGGTGTTTATCGCTCAAACACAGCAGGAACTTTATTGAACCCGCCAGCGCCAGCGCTTGCAGGAGCATGTTTATGTTGATGTTGGTTTGTGTGAACGGACCGTTTTCTTCAGCACACCCGGCGCTGGCGGGGCGGGATTCACTTTAAAACCATCCTCTGTGTCTTGCTTTAAGTTGATGGCAGCGGGTCACCTCATGGCTTCGTGGTGACCGCCTCTGTTCGCGTTGCTGAGTGATATTTTCAGGAGGAATACCGCTAGCTTCGGGGCGTTTGTCGCGCCGTCGGGCTCCAGGCTGTCAGTCGGTTTGAATGTGACAGCAGCTTCATGTGTGTTGGTTCATGTTCGAAAACACGCGACCTGGCGTCATCATTATTGTTGTTGTTGTTTTTTTGTTTTTTTTTTACTATTATTGTCGCACATTAATGACTATGAAGTAAATATCGATCCCACAAACCGAGTCCCAGCAGAGGCAGAGTCCGTCTGCAGCTGAAGTAACGTTACCTGTTGATACTCGCAATAATAAAAACACGCCGCTTCATATAATGGTCAAATCAGCAAAGTGTTCAGGGGGTCAGGCTTGGATCATCAACCCCAGACCCCCACGTTTACGCCACATTATTAATTAATTATTTGCAAATCGTTAAGAAATTTGCCCCTCTGAAGCACAAGGCTGGATTACCGACCGGGCAACTGCTCCATACCCCGAGGGCCACACATTCATCCATCTTCACTTGTTTCAGCAGTTTGATAAGTCACAAATGTGTTACGTTATTAACACCACAAAGGTACAATATCACCTAAGGCAGCACTTGCATATTAACCACATGTCTGACCCCTGTGTTTCCAGACTCAGTTTAAAGGCTTCGGTTATATTATCCACACATGGAGCAAATTACTCAATAAAACTCTCAGTTAAATCGCCACAAACTAAGACAGTGTCATGTCAGAGCAGGAGGTCTGGTTGCACAGGACTGGATGGGAACAGGGAGGCAGCATTGTTCATATTCAGAGAGCAGTAGGTGAGGGGTGGGGGTGGGGGGGCTGTCAGTGTGCACCTTGATGCCCCTTGTCTTTACATCCCAACAGCGTTTGGTGTGGTAGCTACACTGAAACCATGTTTTAATTTAACGCTGTAAAGCACAGTTGGAATCTATCTAGCAGTTATTGATCACAGTCTTGGGCTATTTTTAGACTTTTCCCCAGTGTGTTGCTGTGGATCTATACATGCTCCTTTGTGCCAGCTGCTGCTCAGCTACACAGACTGTGGTGAGCTGGGGTTTTTTTTAGCTAGACCCGCTGCCTCTTTTGAAAAGCCAGATGTGGTCTTACTATATAACCCACCAGTGTCTGTATATTATGGGCTTTCTCTGAGGTGCCATTCTTTGTGGGGAGATAGCTGCAGCTTCTCAAACTGGGCTTGCTATTTCTCATTACCATAGCTGAATACTTGGGGTAGGGCTGCAACTGACGTTTACTTTCATTATCAATTAATCTGCCAATAATTTTCTAGATTCACATAATGTCAGGAAAAAATGAGAAATGCACATTGAAATTTACTGTAACCCAAGTTGACAAATACAAATTCCTTGTTTTGTCCGACCAGCATTCAGAAACCCACAGACACATTCAATTTTTAACCCTTATAATTGAGAGGCTGTAACTCAGGAATAATTGGCATTTCTGCTTGACTTTAACAATTAATTGATTATCAAAATAGTTGCCAGTTGATTTTCTGTTATGTGATTGACACAAAACTAATCAGTAACTATTTTGATATTGTGAACTAAAATAGCTTTTTGCGTTTTGGACTTTTGTTTGTTGAATAAAGCAAGATGTCTGAATACATCGTCTTGGGCTTTGGGAAATTATAGCGCCATTTTATAGCACCTTTCACTATTCTCTCACAATTTGTATTCAAATCAATCATTGAAGAAGATAATTGGCAGATTAATCAATGAGGAAAATCATCATTAGTTGCAGCCCTACTTTCAACTCTGTGAGTTTTTGGACTGTATATCAAACAAAGACTGGCATGTCTTGTTATGTTTTTATAGGTTACTATATTAAATGAATAATAAAAAACAATAATCAACAGTTGCAGCCCTAATTTGACCGTGGATAGAGGTGATTTTTGTGGGATATTAGAGTAAAAACTGTAGTAGATTTCTTGTCTACACACATGGACGTCTGTTTTTATACTGCATGCATAAGTGTTTAACTCAAACCCTTGACTTTGCAGTAGCATACAAATTGAGGAGGCTTTTATTGATGCACGGATAGTTAATTTCACTATCATATTCACAGCATCATACAACTACTGTAAGGCACTGAAGGATCTGACAAACTGGCCTGAGGGCTTTGTTTAGAATCCAAACAAACGAGGTTTGGCTTCGCAGTGATTTCCTGGTGACAGAGTTGGCTCTTGCTAACCCGCTTTATGTGTTTTTTCACAGCGGCCAATCACTTATGCATTCCTGTGGATAAAATAGACTAAGTGAATGAAATAAATGAAGGTGGCACACAAATTAATAGAGACATGATATGACATGGCATAGATTTGTGACAACTCCAGGGCTGCAACTTATCGATTAATCTGTTAGTTATATCCTTGATTAATCATTTGGTTTATAAAATGTCAGAAGATAGTGAGAAATTCCCTCTAGGAAGTCCAAGCTGACGTCTCCAAATTCTTGTTTTGTCCAATAAACAGGAAGAAAAAAAAAAGCATCCCAAAAAGTCCAAAATTTATTTACTATCACACAAATTGAAAGAAAAAGAGCAAATCCTCAAGCTTAGGAAGCTGAAACTAGGGATTCTCTGGTATTTTTGCTTGGAAAATCACTTCAGTGATTCATCGATCATTGCATCGATCATTGATCATTGATTACTATTCTTATTAATCAGCTAATTGTTTCAGTTCTAGTCCAAAACCTAAAGATATTCAGTTTACAATGATATAAGAATGACAAGAAAAGCTTCAAATCCTCACATTTGAGGAACAGGAACCAGTGGTTGACACTTTTGTTTGTAAGATAGCTAAAATGATTTCAGTCATCAAAATAGTTGATGATTAATGTCTATCGGTTAATCAGCTAATTGTTGCAGCTCTAGAAAGCAACATTACAAGATACTGATGTAGGGCTGGATGGATGGGGTGTAAAATTATAGTTGTCTCATCATTGGAGACGATCCACGGTACCCGCAGGATATTTTTAACTCAACAGAAAGTAAGACCAAAATCAGACTTATTTTATCTTTACTTTGTCTCATTTAGGCTAATGTGCAAAAACGTGTTCATATTTGACATTTTTTAAATACTTAATCTTTCAGCAAAAACTTAATCGTCTTAAAAACATTGAAGAATGAATAATTTTGTCAGTTAAACAGAAAATGTCTGAACTTGGTTGAATTCAGTTTGCCACAAACCCCAGATTAAACCTTCACACAAACTATTTTTAGGTTTGTAGAGTAGGACAAGGACACATCTGAAGACTTGTCAACAACTTCAAGCAGCAGTCGAGACCTCTGCAGTTGACAGTGTTAATAGACTGTGGTTAATTACGTTTTGTTGCATTTATGTGTGCAAGCAAAAGTCATGGCTTTTGGGAATAATGACTGCTCATATTTAGTTAATATCCATTTGTCAGCTCTGTGTACTGCAGGTGCACACCATGATACATGGTTAACACTGACACAGCAACAGTGGATTAGTGCTGATAAAAACAGTAAAGTTACAGTAATCATAATGAACTATTGCCCTTCCTTTCTCCTTTGTTATGTGAATATACTCATTAAGACTTAAAAGTATGAAATAATTAAATGAGCCTCAGTAACTGTGGTGCATGATCTATTTACTGCTGTTTCACACCTCAGATCAAAATGTGTTTATTATAATGAATGAATTTGTATCTTCTGTCCACATGAAGCATCTGGGGCTTTTGTCGGGCGCCATAGGGTTAGAGAGCACTAAACTGTGATATTGAGCACTGGGCTGACAGCAAACATACAACAGTGACAGTGTGTGGCAGGAGTCATCAGCCCACCACAAAGAGAGAGCTCAGAGGCTGTGGATGCAGAGAATATTAATGACAAGAGAAGGCGCAGACCAAGACAACAGAAACTTTCCAAAAACATTATTGCAGTGCTGTATACTGTGCAGAAACATAACCCCTATTTGCTCTGTAGAACATGTAGGACTGCAACAAATGATTATATGCATTATGATTATGATATCACTTTCTCGTTCAGTAGATGAATCATTTTTCTATAAATCTTCAGGAAGTAGTGACACGTGCTTCACATGTTTCCAGATCAGACTTCAGATATATATGAAATATATATATGAAAAGCAAAGAAAGGCAACAAATTCTCATTTGTTAGACTCAGAAAATGTCAAAAATAGTTCCCAAGTTTAATTTTCTGTTAATCATCAAACAGTTTCAGCTCCAGTAACATGATGGTTTGGCCCTACCTGCTTTATTGTTTTAATTTCAGTAATGAGCGAAGCCCCCCCCCCCCAATCATATTTTAGGAAAGCTTCAGGTGACGTCTTCAAGTGTTTTGTTTTACCTGGCGAACAATTCAAAACCCAAAGATTTTCACTGCACCAAAGAAAAGCAGCAAATCTTCACAGACGAGAGACGAGAACTGGGGAATGTTTGGGATTTTTGCTTGAAAAATTAGTTGATGAATTGATTATCAAAATAGTTCGGGCGATTGACTGATTGATTCATTGACTACTTTACTTCAACTATAATATACTGTATATTGATTTGAATTACTGCGCGCTTTGTTCTTGGTTGCCCCAGGCTATATATTGTTATAGCTGAACTGGTGCATAAGTGTGATGCAGCTGCCCCAGACAAAATCTGTGCTTGTGAAAGACT